AATGACCCCGAATTTCAATTTGTCAACAATTTCACACATTTGAAGTTTTTTAAGTATTAAAACAGTAAATACGTAAGTAACGTAGCGGAACTGACCTTTGTCCTGCAGCAGGAGTAAAACCAGACCATGATGCTTGAAAAAAAAAACCTAATAAAGATTAGTGGCACAGCGTAACTCTTCTGTATCTTTTGTAGCAACAATAAAACGGTGAGCCTCTATGCTGATTGATAAAACGATTTTTTCTAAATGCTTTTTATCGGTGACGTTCTTACATGTAACACTGCCGATCATATTCGTGTCCAGTGATATGAAATCGGTTCAATTGTCGGCATGCGGTGGACGAATCCACGTTAAAGTGTTGGTCGACATATCTCTTTCAACAGCTAGAATGAAGTCTGATGGTCGCTCTACAATGATAAATTTTATATTTAAAAAAGGGATCATGACTTCGTTCGCCATAAAGTCATCTGAAATTTCGATTCTCCGACTTTTGAGTGGTCTTCTAGAATAAAACGTTCATGTCATATATTTTTTTTGTCATATTGACTATGATAAAAAAAATGTTACTTATCAGATTTTGCGTATTGATATAGCCAGCATGCACGAAAAACCCTATGTATTATTCTTTTATTTGTTTGTGTTTTTGATCAACCATATTTTGTACTAAATTAAATAGAGAATGGTTAATAAGACCCAGGATAGTATTTGAGAATTTGAAAATTGTTTTTAATAAGAAAATTGGATTTTTCTGAGAAATAATGTATCCAAATTATTTAGAAATAAATTACTTTATTCACAATTTTTTTATTGGTTTTCCTTTAAGTTCCCTCTCGAAAAAAATTGTTTAATAACATAAAGACGCCACGATTTTACAGTGGAGGACTGCAGAACTTTACTTTAGTCGTACATCATGGTTACTCAGCACTGATGGATCTTTTGTGCAAACTATGATACCTCGGTGTATATTGTGTCATCCAAAGGATTTGTCTCTACGCCCAGCTGTGGATTCAGTGTTTGCTGGTAAACAATAGGATCGATGATCTCTTTAGTTTAATATATATAACATATAAGAGAAGGAGATTTGGTAGCACAGCTCTTCGTACCCATTAAAAATACTTCATTGCAATTAATTTAAAAAATAATTGAAATAAAATACATCATGAGAAAACTTGCGAGTTGTACATGATAGCAAGAATACCTTTCCGCTCGATCCTTTTTCGAAATTAGCTCGGGTAAATGCGTGCATCTGTATGGTAATTTGGTAATGCATTAGAAATCGTTCATTGTCCTGCATTTAACTAATGTGTTTCCTTATATAAATCGTACTCAAATAATTTCAATCAAAGGTTATTTTTAATATTGATAAGCACTTTACTAAAAGCTTATCACTGTTAAACACGTAGAATTTAAGTGATTCTGATAATTCGAAATAAACTGTTTCACACAAACATACACTGTTGTGATGCAGAATATGCACTTTTATCTAGCGGAAAACTCTTTTATAAAATATTATGTAAAGATTACTGTTCAAATCAATAAATACAAAATATACTTTATAATATATTTAAATATTTTCAAATTGCAAATGAAATGAAAAACATTGTCATATTCGATATTTTAGGAAACACATAAGCTTTTTAACTGCATTGGTATGTTCAATTTATTTTTGTTCGGGTAAAGATATAAATAAGCAAAAGTACAGTAATACCGCACCTGGTCGTTTTGTGTGCAATCAACTCTGTGCAAGGCGATTTCCTTCATTTTGTTTACTTAACATATAATTTTCATTCACTATGTTTAGTTCCTTATTGCATGATGTGCCTCTACCAGAAGAAAACAAATGATACAAATATATGTAAAATGCATCTAATACTGTTAGTCGTTTATTTCCACCATGTTAAAATTTCACGATATCGCAAAAAAGTTGCGATGGTTTTAATTTTACGCTGCATGTAATTAATTCAAAATTTCGATTGAGCAGTTCAACTTTTTTAAAAACTGATAATAACATTCAGGATTGGTTTAATTTCGCGGAAAAATGATTAATCGCAAACATATCGAAATTAAAATCATTGTGGTTATTTGCCAGTCTACAATATTCAGATGTTTCGAAAATATCCGCCTACATTTTCGTTTTCGATTTATGACCTTTACGGTATGTCATTCGTTAAATTTGTTATTTCAAAAAAAATTGAGAAGTATATTTTGGATTAAGTATTCATAAAAAATCTGACAAAATAGCATCGAAAATTTGTGGTCTGTGGACATCTCAAAAATTAGGCTTATTACTAAATTTTTGTGCTGCCTTTTCATTGAATTATGAACAATTTGCATTGTTTAATTTAATATGTCATAAAATTGAATGATGATAAATACCTTTGAAAAAATAGGTTCTGCTTGTACTTTTTTAAAAACAAATAACAAACTGTAAAGTCCATTTCAAATTAAAGTACCAGTCCACAGGAAAATCAAACAAAAAAGAATAAACGGGGGCTTTCCAAATTCAATGATTTTTTCACACATAGGTTGTGAAATAATCAAACAAATGCCGAATGAATTGTAATTACAGATATCTAAATCAACGTTATCAAACAGTAGAACATTTCCCAGGCTTCATTGCAAAAAATGATAACTTACATGTATTATCTTTTTGTATGGTAGCAACATATTTTCAATTGCGAAAGGAAATGGAATTATCTTTATATAGGTATTTATTAATGCTTGAATATAAATTTACCTCTGAATTATACCCCCTCAACTTGAAAAGTAGGGGGTTATATAGTGATCGTGGTATCCGCCCCACCGTCTGTCTGTACGTCCGTCTGTTACGCTTTTAGGTACCCATCTCTTATCCGCAACTACTCTTTTACAACTGAATGAAATTCAATGAGACTTTCCAAAATCTTTGTTATATAGTTTCATTGTACATCTCCTAATTTACCTTTTGAGCTGCACCTATTTTGGTTTTCCCCAGAGCAAAACATTGACATGATCATTTTTCTATTATACTGAGGGGTACACATCTCTTTTCCGCAACTCCGTCTAAACCATTGAATATACTTCGTTGATATTACATAGATTAATTTTTACATAATGCAATTGTGCCACTTTAATTTTACTTTTTGATCTGACGCTTATTTCGGGTCTCCCATGGTACAAAACATAGACTTTGCCATTATGACCATAAGGGAGGATGTATGTGTCATGTAGTGAGCTCACAATTTCAATAGTTGAAACAGATAGGACAACTGTTAATTGTCATTCAATTGCAAAAAGTTTGGGTTATATTCTAATGCTACAAACTTTGTTTACTTGCATTTATTGTTGAAAACTTAACTGAAAATGTCAAATGTCTAATGTTCTTCTGATTAGGATGTCCAAACATTTTCTTAATTAAGATCGTTTTGAGCTAACTCCGTGCTAAACATTAATTAAACTTTAAAAACTAAATTTAGCTACCACCAACTATCTATTCAAAAAACAAATGGCAAATTTATAACGATTTATGTTATCTTAATAAAATCACTCAATGTCTTGTGTAAACACTACTAAAATTTGCTTTTACCGGTAAATAACTGGTATCTAAAATTTAAAATTTCATTGGTAATTTCTATTTAATTTTTTTATGGATACAAATGATTATCATATGTTCATATTGTCAATGATGTAGACAGCACACTAGAATATGATAAAATATAGTTTAGAGCATAAAGCTTTACAGGAGGATAATCCTCAAAAAGTCGCAGACAGAAAATACAGCTAAGTTTCTCTTTGTGAAATTAATTTTTTATTCTTATCATAGCAAAAAGCAACATTTTATGGTCATGTATGAAATAAATTGAGATAACGAATAGTATTCAATTGCAAAACTCCATTAAACAATGCAACATTGGAGCAAAGCAAACACAGACTTCCAAAAAATCAGAGGTGTGATCAAGTGATATCGAGAAGTGAACATCCCCTGACGACCGTTCAAACCCGGCGTCTGCTTTTTGTCATCAAAGCTTTGAGACAGTAATTTGCTCATGATTTTGAGTTTAGAAAAAAAAATCTTTAGTACTTGGAAGGATACATTTACTACAGTATTCACTTTGTCACTATAGTAAAAATTTTGAAACTTTGATTACTGTACTTTACTAAAGTATTTTCGATAACATACACGATTTAAAATAATTTTGAAAAAGGAATGTTCAGATTTTCAGATTAAAGTCCCTTTTCTTCTTTGAAATAAAACACTCTTTTTCAAACACTAAAAAACACTGTTTTTGCGACAAGAAATTTAATGAATTAAGACGATGATACACACTCCAAAATAATTTCATGCAATAAAATTCAATTAAATTAAGTGAATTGAAATTCACGGTACTATAAAACCACGAGGGAGACTAACTTGCACTCCAATGAAATGCAATTTTAAATTATAAAGCAATGAAAAAGTTTATCAAATATAATTTAAGATCATTTTTAAAGGGTCCATTATGCTTCCAAGGAAATACGTCTGTAAAGTACAAAAATACGTTGAAATAAGCTTGATATAATTTAATGTTTTATACTCAGTGTAGCTCATATAAAATAAAAAGGATAAAGGCATGCTTAAGAGGAAACACTCTATCTGAAACAATGTCCTCGGTTAGTCCTGAAAATGAAGGTTTGAAAAGAGGTAAGGAAGCACAGCTTTTGGGAAATATTGAACGATCTTTTAAGAAAGTGTCTCCATAATACATTAATGGGGCATGTTAAACTGTATTTCATTACTTGTTACAATATGTCAATGCATATTACTCATATTTTTATGTAAAATTAGGTGAGGTGAACTTTAAAGCTGAAGGACAAAAACAAAGGATTGTTTCAATAGTACTTGGAGTGTTGCTGACAATAGCCGTTATAGCTTTTATAACGATTTTGGCCATTCATCTGAAAGGTATAATGTTTATTACAAATAATACCAAGAAAAAAATCAATTACAGCTTGACTGAAGAAATTTGAGAAAAATAAATCAAAACGATTTTTGATTCAAATTTTTTGCCATAAGTTGTCATACGAGGGTTTCAATGTATCACAAGCCCTATCTTTATACTAAAGTAAAAAGGCCTTTTAAAAATTCTTTGAACTACTGGAGAAAATATTAAATTTTTAACGAAAATTTCAGATTTTTTTTTTATTGAACAAACATTTGATTGATAGTTATATATAGTTCAAAGTTTTATAACGTGTTTAGAGGGTAATTCGCTGGGTCTAAACGTATTTCTTAGTATGTGCATTTCTCGACCCGAAACCGTCAACCCTGAGAATCCATGTGTATTATTAAAGCTGAACACTACTCTTAAAAAGGCATAGTCTGCCATATTTCCTGTTCCTCAACGCTCTCCCTACAATCCATGTATAAGAAGTAGATCGCTTATCAGTTCAATGTATTTTGCTGTAGAGGTCCGACGAATGTAGACGTACATCTTACAAAACCATGCTACTCGGTCGCGATGAAATTATCATTTTTTTTTTTTTCAAAACAGGACAAAGGTATCACGAAAAATACAAGTCAATACATTATTTAGAGAAAGAAAATGCACATAAAAAGCAAGGAATGAACGCAAAAAATCTAAGACCACGAAAGGAGTACTACACGTCGGACACGAGTTTTTCGAGTGTGCAATCGGGTGTAACGAAATCGAACGGTTTATATATTACCTGTCTGACAGTGCCTATTTATGAGAAGTGTTCAGCTTAAATATATTTATACTAAGACCCGCTATTCTCTGTCCATAAAAGAACATATTATCACAAACCAGGCCGACATTTGCCCTGATATGGTCTAACAAGAGGCCCAAGGGCCACATCGCTCACCTAGGCACATCGGCTAGGAAAAAGCACATGAGGATGATTTTATATGAGTTTCATCTTTCCTGTTTCAATGGTTCTTGAGAAAAAGATTTTTAAAGATTTTTCCTAAATACTTCCTGCATAAAACTTTGATCGACCATTTTGGCCCCACCCTCCCCCCGGGGGTCATGATTTGAAGAAACTTGAATTTACACTACCTGAGGATGCTTCCATAAGAATATGATCAATTACGGCTTTGCTATTCTTGAGAGGAATATTTTTAAAGAATTTTCTTATATATTCTATGTAAAACTTTGGTTGGCCATTTTGGACCCGCCCTTCCCCCGGGGGTCATGATTTGTACAAACCTGAATTTACACTTCCTAAGAATGTTTCCACATAAGTTTCATTTTTCCTGACCCAGTGGTTCTTGAGAAGAGGATTGTAAAGATTTTTCCTATACCAGTGGTTCTTAAGAAGATTTTTTTAAATATGCCATTAATTTTTCTCTTATTCATAATTATCTCCCCTTGGAAAAGGGCGTAGCCCTTCATTTGAACAAACTTGAATCCCCTTTACCTAGTAATACTTTGTAGCAAGTTTGGTTGAAATTCACCCAGTGGTTCTTGAGAAGAAGATAAAAATGTAAAATATTTACGACGACAACAACAACGACGACAACAATAACAGACAACGGAAAAATTTTGACCAGAAAAGCTCACTTGAGCCTTCGGCTCAGTTGAGCTAAAAATTCATAGATAATGCAGTATTCCTTATAATCGAAATTCGTCAAAACTATTGAAACTATTCAAAAGACATCGTATTTATTCACTCATGTTTGAAAACTATCAAAATCGTTATAGATTAAGTATTATTAGTCATGGAAAAAGGCCCCCCTGATAGTAGTTATGTCACATCATCCTTTGTATATTTCTGAACTTAAATTTGTGACAGGATTATATTTTCAATCATATTTTCTGTTTAAAGAAGAAATGGAAAATAACAAATTGTGATCATTATAAAGACAATCTATAAACTGTTGTATTGAGTACCTTTCTACACACATAAAGGGAGTTAACAATAAAAAAGTTGAAGTTATCACATCTACAATGTATCAGGCAGTTTTGTGGCAGGGAAACAATAACGAATTTTTCTATATCTCTCTGCTTCTAATAGATACCTAAAAAAAATATACAAGAATTCGTGATATTCTTTGTTTCGAGTTCGTCCGATGAACTAGTATTGGAATTGAAAATGCATTAGCTAATTGATTAAATGTCTTCGATTTGTTTACAGTAGTTGATGGTGGGTGGAGTTCGTGGGGAGAATGGTCGTCTTGCACAAAAACTTGTGATGTCGGAGCAAAATATAGAATCAGAAGTTGTAGCAAACCTTTCCCAAAAAATGGAGGAGTTGACTGCATCGGCTTGTCGATTGATTTTTCGACCTGTAATACAAAACCATGTGATGGTAACTAAATAAATGAATAAAAAAATCAACAAAAGTATAAATTAGTATCAATGAATTTTGATAATTATGATAAGAATATCTTTAAGTTGAAATTAGGAGGAATTCAGCACAAATTTTACAACTTCTACGTTAAGTTCACTTTTGGATAAACTTTAACTTTAAGAGGGATTCTTAATTTGTTTCAGACTAAATGAAATATGCATATTTCTGCGCATATGTCATATAATACGATGTAAAGTATTCAAAAGAATGTATTTTTCTTTTTTCCTTATAATTGTTGAATAGAAATGTTAAATTATTTTGAAATCTAACTTAGAAAGAGCCATTGTAGCATATATCCGTAATAATACATGCATTTCTGAAATACATTTATCAATATTTTGTGTACTTTATAGAATGGCCAGGAGAGAGGAAGTGAAAATTTTGTGAACATCTTGTGTAATTTCCCTTCGATTTGGATGCATATCTTCTCATTAAATAATCGAATGTTCAGCGCTTATTCACTAAGCTTTGTCGAGATTTTGAAATTTTATCTGGTGTGTTATTGAACTTTTTAAATACGCAATGTGTGCTTTTACAAAGTAATAAGTATGCAAAGGTTTCTAACTCAGACACCATCAATTTTCATATACGTTACAAAACATGTCTATAGTATAATAAATTTTATACTGTATTGTGGTATTATGTGTATTGCTTAACAATATTTTGAATAAAATTCACATCCCAAAGACGGAAAACCATCTTTAATCAATGGCTTAATGGCAGCTTAATGGCGACTTAAGGGTGTTAAGAGTCAGGATACGTGAATTACCTTGATTTTCGTTAAATAGTCTCGCATACAATTGGCAACATTAAATGATGTTGCTTTTATCAATATCTTTTAATGTTTAGCTACTTTATAAACTTTAGTACCACTCAATAGTGAATACTTATTAAAGTAAAATAAGAATATATATTGTAATTCGATGAAATATTATTTATATGAAAACAATAATTATTATGGATTTGATAAATGTCACAGAATCCGTCTTTCAACATTTATCTTTTATAATTTGACTATTCCTTTGTTTATTAGGTTAGTAATTGTGTATAAAGCTTGAATAATGATCCATAGTTTAAAAGTGGCCCCGTTTCGCCATAATAAAGACAAGATAACGTGAAAAATAAGGAATCTACAGTATGTTCCTCTAAATATGAAGGTAGAGTGATTCATAATAAGAAATATAACCATTTATGGGATCTACAAATCACGAGGGAAAATATCAAAACTATGTACACACATGCATACGACTTTTATATAGAATGATCAATAGATGCACAACTTATAACATATATCAACAGACACCAAGCTTTTATGTCACATATAGACATCATACGACATTACTACTTAAGAAATCACATCTCTTTTTGATTAATAAAACAATTCAATAGGTCAACACAAATGCTATGTACATCAATCTACATCATTGTGACAACCATGGTAACGAAATAAAAATATACCACTGAAATGAACAAAAGCAAACCTTCAGACATATTCTGTAGTTGCCATTCTTTCAGCATTGCATTGCATTGCTTTTAGTCTGGAAAAGCGTTTTTAAGAGCGCAATACAAAATCTTAGGTATGCTCACTGTGCCGCCTTGACGTCAAAATTAATTTTGATTTTGACTGTGACTCTTTAATATTCTCAGTTAATAAGATGGTTCACAGAAGCTTTGCACGAAGTCTGATCCGTATGTGTCAATTTTCGATAACACATCGTATGAGCAAAACATAAAAAAGAAGACCTTGATACATTGTTAGAATGAATTAAATGTATCAGTTTTACATACTGCTGCATACAATGTAAGGCGATCTTTCCACTAAATTTCGTCTGAAATTTTATTTAGTAAAAAAACTATAACGATAATGAATTTCAATTAATCCCACTTTCAAGAGTTGTTTTTGAAATATAAAAATATAATTGCATGCCTAAGGGTCGCATCTTAAGCACATGGGACAGAAATTATAAAGTGATCATGACATTATACGAGACGTTCTTTAAGCTTGTCATAGTGCGCTGGTACATTTATATGCTTTCTTTATTTTGTCATCATTTTCTTTTTTTAAACGTGATGATGTCAACAAACTAGCCATGCATGATCATGAAATGATGCTTTTTACTATGTCATGAAACGAAACTTTATTTAGCGAAGAGTAACTGAACCGTTTTCTTTGTCTACAACATTTTGGGACAAACTTTTTAAGTACTAAGTGTCCACATGTTTTACACCACTTCCAAAATATATTGTTTCCACAGCGCTCCTGAAGTTTTTTCTTTCGCAGGAAAGTAAACAAGTCAAACCAGTTAATTAAAAACAGATTGTACTTAAGGTCAACACAGAATTCACCACTTTGAAATGTTTTAGATGATTGATTGATTGAATGTTGTTTAACGTCCCTCTCGAAAGCTTTGCACTCATATGGAGATGACATCACTTGCCGATGAAAAACAGTGAGTGATCTTTCCGAGCCAGCACAAACACAGAACATCGGTTTATTCAATCTCATTCGAAAGACCGGTCTCCACGACCCACAGTGGGACTGGAACCCGCGACGTAAATATTGTCTAATTCATTCGCGATTCAAAAGCAGACACTCTAACCACTGTGACAAGAAAGGGTCTGTATGAATACGCCATTCAAAATGTTTTAATTGAAGTTGTAGATATTTTAGTCTTTTGTTCGAAAGAACAAAACACTGAGATAACTACGACTTCAATTCAAACATTTCGAATGGCGTATTCATATTGACCCATAATACAGTCTGTATTCCATTGTGTCTTTTAAATTGTTTACCTAGGCCTTCTTGCGAATTTTCTGCAAACATTCAATTTGTAAATGTTTCCTACGAACTGATTGCTGCGAACAACAGATTGGCATGCATGTTTCTTGCAATGTTCCTGCAAATATTTTTGAATTGCTGCAACATTGTTGCTAGGTTGTAGAACTTGCTGCAATGTTTTCCGCAAGATGCTGCAATCACTGTCTTCCGAAGAGGAAAAGTTTCGTAACTGATGTCCAAACCAGAATGAAAACATAAGACGTACATTAGAAAAAAAAACTTTATTATATTTAGATAATTTATTTTGGTCCATAATATTTTACAGTTCAATATATCCTTGTTTCTTTCCGTGACGCTAGCTATAGAAAAGAAAATTTGCGACTCTTCAATCACAAAAGGGCCATCCAATTTAAACAATTTAAACCATCTTTGTGTTGATTATAAATGAAGTTTAAATTAGTATATGCCGTATACCATCTATTATACCTACATGTACGACCAATATTTAAAGCAAAAAAAAAAATCACCTTGATTTTAAGCGTATTATTTAAGACATATTTATATCTTAATAAAAATCGTATCCATTGTTCCTATTGTCATATTTCGTTGTAAATCTGCTATCATTGTTCACCACGCCTCTCGTACAGGAGTCAAAATAGAGAGATCCACCAAATCAAGCACTTGTGGCACACGTGTTACATGTTAACAACAAAGACTATCTTTTTTGTAGTCGTATTGTAAACGGTCTAAAAGTATCATATACAGCAAGACATGTGACCAAGTAGCAGTTTTAGTTATTTCAGATTAGTATGACCATTTTTTTTAACAATGCAAAGATTGATAATTAACTTTATTCTGTTCTCATTTTGTTGAAATAGGAAATCAGAGATTTATATTCTACGGAAAAATAGTTAATAATATTATAGAAATGGGAAACCGCCACACTTTAACGAATGAACGTTATTAATGGTCAAAACTATGATATAATCTAGGTCTCTGTCGCGAAAAACAATTTGTCTTCTGTTGTTTCATTTGCATCGGCATTTCCAGTTTCCAGTAAAAGAGTGTGGTATTGGGTTGCAGAAATTTATCTTAGTTGTGTAAGTTTTCGTGTTAAGTCAGAGTTGGAATTACCGTACCCGGAAAATGGTAAACTTTCACATTTTTAGCACACTTATATCTTATTGAGCTGTGTCCTGTGTGATAATGAGGTAAGATTTGCCTTAGGATATTACTATTAATTACTGCAAAGTAATTTTTTCTTCAGATACATGTCAATGTATGCATTGTTTTTTCCCTTTAACAATAGCAAAGCACTCTTGACCCAAACACGCAATGAAACTGACCACTTTTTTTTCATCAAGATAATTTTTGAGCAGATTCAATTTTTCAGATCTCCACTTATATAAGGCAACAATTACTGGGTTTTTAACATCGGCCTAGGCCTTATCCATAAAGTTTACCAAATTCTTATTTTTGCAATCATTACCTTGCTTTTCAGGCTTTCAATCCTAGATCCATGATGGACAAACTCTGACATGACTGAAGGAGAAATTACGCACAGGTGTTGGGCATAGTCTAAAGCAAAGACCGCATTATATACAAATAAAAAGTATTTTATTTCATCTATTTAAACAGAATTTGTGGTATATAATTTATATTAACGTGTATATATAAATACAATGCACATTTTATACGGAAAATTTTCAAAAATATGATTATATGTTAATTTATTATCAAAAAAAAATATTACGAGAAGACGAGAATAAAGCGCTTTTTACAATATGCCAAGCCTTTTCCTGCCACATCTCACACCAAAAAAAGATAGAGAAGTATGGCAAGCCCTTTTGCTTTTTATTCGGAAAATAAAGTTTATATTAAAATTATAGGGATATCTCTCATTTTAGAGAGATATCTCTTAAAAAATGAGATATCTCCCGACTTAAAGAGGTATCTCTCATTTTTAAGAGTTATCTCTTTGAGAAAGATATATCTCTTAAACTTAGAAAGATATCTCTTATACTTAGTGAGATATATCTTTTAATAAGAGAGACATCTCTTCCACTTGAAGAGCTATCTTTTTCCCCTTGAAAGATCTTTTTTGTGAAAAGAGATATCTCTTTGACCTAGAGAGATATCTTTTTTTGAAGATATCTTTCGAAATTAAAGAGATATATAAAATAAAGTAAAAGAGATATCTCTCTTAGTTTATCTGAAGAGACATCTCTTAAAGTGAAAGAGATATCTTTCAAAGGTGTCTAAAAGAGATATCATTCAAGCAAAAAGAGATATCTTTTTATTGCAAAGAGATATCTCTCTCATTATTTTAATTGAAATTCCATTTGAAATGACTTCTCCCTTTACCGGAAGTAAGCTTTTTATTCACGGTTGTACCTTTAAGGAATTTTTAAATTTCAACACATTCATGTTATTCTACATTATAACTTAATAAAAATGACAAGTAATTCTGTGTTTTCTAGATTTTAAATTAGTAATATTTGGTTATTTCATAAGCTAACAAAATTTGGCCCATTGCATTTGAGATTATATGCTTACTTTCGTTTTCCTGTATATCAAACTTTTATCATTTTTTAAAATTGATGTCATTATTATTTGTTGTTCAAACAAGGAATTTATAGCATTTTTATCTACATAATTCATTTTTTAATCTGGGAATTGCATGCTCAGTCTTTTTTCTTA